GGTCAAATCACACCCTGAAATAAGAGATAAGAAGGCAAGAATGAGGGACTTCCCTGGTGGTCTAATGGTTAAGACTCTGCCCTTCTAATGCAGGGGCCATGGGTTTGATCCCTGGTTGGGGAACTAAGATCCCACACACTGTGAAGCATGGCCAAAAATTAAAAGAAGGCAAGAATGAGTTGTAGGTATAGCTTTTAAAAGAAAAGAAGTTTGTCTTATGATGGGGATAGAGGCAGAGTAGAAACAGAAGTTGCAGGGAAGTTCTTGCATCAATTTCCTCAGTAAGGTATGATACCATATTCTTAGAAGAGGGCTAGGAGATGATCAGATTTGAGGAGATTTGTGAAGCTGTGGAATAGCTCTTTAGGTTTATAGGGAATACATTAAAAAAACAAAACAAAACAGGAAATGGGACTGATGAATAATGCTCTGTATTTCAACTGATATTAGAGTTTATGAATTTGCATTCATTTCATATTTTCAAAGATAGGCAGATTTTATCCAGAAGCTTCAGTCTAGAATGTTGCTGTATGATTGACTCATGACTGAGGGGTTGTTAGGGTTCATAGAAAAGTGAGCTATAGAGCTGAAAGTGAGAGTTGAAAGCTCAGAGAGCAAAAGTTATTCTGAGAGCTATTCTCAGTACTGAGAGATGAGCTAAGAGTAAAAGTAGTTCAAGCTCAGATCCTGGTGTCTATCCTGCATATGATGGAAGATAGAAGGATACAGATAACCTGAGTAAAGTGGAGGGCTCAAGTGGCTGGATACCTGGAAGAAGCTAAACAGCAGGTGTAATGGGAGTGAACATATAAGAAAGCGAGAAGGCCAAGCAGCTCCAGTCAGAAAGTTGGATATTAAAGCTGGAGAAGGTTCTGGTGATATAAAGAGCTAAAACTGACCATCAAAGAGGTAGTATGTGTGAAGCAGAAATGAAAGTCACAGGAGCCGAAAGTCAAAGAAATGTGAGCCTAGTTGGTAGAATATGTTGTCCAACTGTGTCTTACAATTACTTGAGAATGATGGCAGGAGTTGGGATGGAGAAGAAAACTCTCACATAGATGGCAATGTCCTCGATGAATATGGGCAAATGACATGGACATACCTGCAGTTAGTAACAATAAAAGGGGTATAGAGGATGGGTAGTCATATGAAATAATCCTGACCTAGAAGAGATTTTGCAAGGCAGAGAAGATGAATATCTTAAAATGGAAGTGAAAGTTTAGGGAAAATAGTAATTCTATTGGCCAATAACTATGGTGCATGTCAGTGGGAGAGGTATTGGAATGACTATCCTAGAACTCATGGAAGGAAGCTGTGACCTAGGGAGAGAGCCATGTTTCATTTAAGGCAAGATGTAGAGGGAATTTTCCATGAAGACTTTAAAGATCTAAGAGGGTTTGTTTATAACAGAACAGAGGTAAGAGGAGATGCCAGCAAACTACACGAAGCAAGGAGCCTGGAACAATGACCAGACCAATTTGCTACCATTCTTAAATTCTACCCGCATTGTGTCCCATCTTTTTAATATTTCTCAACTCTGATTAACAGACATGTATTGTTGCCAAGCAACAGTTAAGTTTTCCTTAATCACTCTGAGACTACTCAATCTGTCCTCCTGGTAATCAGACATAAACAGGACAAAGTTATAGCAAAAGCCAGCTGGGGAAGGACTTGCCCTGAAAAGGGAAAAAGTGACTTTATAGTGATGGAGCTGCAGGACCTCACCAACATGTACCAGCAGGAACAAGAAGAGAGCTTATGAGACTGTATTCTGAAAATGCTAAACAAGGAGCAGATGGAAAATAAATTTGGACAAGGGAGAGTTTATTGATTTGGCAGCACTCTCCAGGGAGAGAAGATTTAATACTATCAAGGACCCTAGGAAATATAACTATCATTCTTCCATGATGGCTCTTAGAAGCTTGAAGAAAGTGGTGGCCCACACTAAGAGAAGTAGAAATGGAAGAATTGTCATGGCAGATGGAAGATGTAAGGAGCAAAATGCTCAGAGAAGTAGGCATGCTAGTATTCCAATACAGATGCTTTATTTATCAAAGTGACTAGGAATTCTCTGGTGAGAGGGGCACCAGCATCACTGAGAAGCTCAGTGGTGGCTCTCTTCGTAGGTCATGGGGAGTGATAAAAGATGTTGTCACAGACTGGGTTCACATATAAACAACAAGGCTAACAGAATCCTGAAACAATAGAAGCCAGGTGGCAGCACTTAACCATCAGAAAGGTACCACTACACGTATCCAAATGAGTGGCAAAATAGGAGTGACAGTCAGAGATCCTGACCTCTGAAGATGATTAATAGAATACGGCATCCCTAGGGGGAAAGATAGAGGTTAGCTAACAAGGGCATGCTCAATCTATACAGTGACAAGAAATCAAGGATGGGTGACATAAGGCTGAGAGCAGCAGTCTCAATAAAAAGTCAGTCTCTTACCCAGTTTTCTAACGAGCCAGTTTACCTATCCAGAACCCATTTACTGAAGGAGAGGCAGGATTGCCAGGAGGAAGCACCCTGTAACACTTTGGTGAGAATATATGGTAGTGATTTCCCCATCATGCCCACCCCACCCTCAGTCCTTCCCCAAAAGGACCTATGGCCATTCCCTCGGGAAACCATATACTGAGGAAGAGGGAATGCTCAAACATTTTGAGGATTGTTGGACACAATCATTATTGATACCCAGGAACACAAAGAATTATTATGGCCTGCAGTTAGAGGTAGATAGGAGCCAGATAATAAATGGAATTTTTGCCCAGGTGTGGAAGAAGTACATCCACTGAGCACAGGGACCTACCTGGTGGTCATTTCCACAGTTCCCAAATATATAATTGAAAAGGACATATTTGGTAGTTAGTAAAGCACCCACATTAGTACAGTTCTTTGGCCTACGGAATAAGAGCTATCGAAGTGGGAAAGGCCAATGGGGAGCCTCTGAAATTGCACAGGCAAGATAGTAAATAAAACACAATATAGAAATTTCCAGTTGTGATGTACAACATGACTATAGCTAACAATACTGTTTTGTATATTTGAAAGTTTGTATGTGTGTGAAGTATGGGGTCAGTCTTCATTTCTTTTGTAGTGTTAACTAATATCCCTAGGACCATTTACTGAAAAAAGAAGAACTTAATTCCATTGATCTGTAATATCACTTTTGAAAAATCAAATTACATATGCAGATCAACATGGTTGACCTAACATGGGTTAGGCCTATTTTGACACATTTGCCTATTTTTTATCCTTGTGTCAACAGAACACTGACAATGTAACTTTATAAATACATCCTGATACTTGGTAGTTGTAAGCACTCCAGCTTTATTCTTCTTCAAAGTTTCGTTGGGTATTCTCAGCCTTTGCATTTCCATATAGATTTTAAAAACTGCTTATCAATTTCCACTCAAAAAATTGGGACATTTTTATATTCATTTTTCATTGTATAGAAAGATCAATTTTGTGAGAAATGGCATCTTAACAATCCACGAACATGGTATAGTATACTGAATTTATTTAGAACTTATTTTCATTTCTGTCAGTAGTTTTTTGCAGTCAATAATGTTTTGTATCACATCTTTTGATAGATTTCTTATAAGGTATTTGATGACTATTGGTGCTACTATAATTAGCTATTTAAATGTCACATTCTATTTATTTTCTGGAATAAAGGTATACAACTGAATTTTTTAGACATTGTGTTCAGTGACCTTATTAAATATACTTTTCAGTTCTTTTAGATTTTCAATGTACATGATCATCTTATTTTTGAATAATGACGGTTATTTCTTCCTTTCCAATCCATATGCCTTTTCTTTTTCCCTTTTACATTGCTTAGAACATCTGAAACCATGTTTAAAATAAGTGGTAAGAGCAAATATGTCCTTATTTCATTCCTGATGTCAGGGGGAAACATGAAATAATTTACCTTAAGTATAATGTAAGCAGCAGTTATTTGGTAGATGCCTTTTATCTGATCAAGAATGTTCCCTTCATTCCAATTTTGCTGAGAGTAAATGGATGAATGTGGAATTTTATCAAATGATTTTACTGCAGCTACCAAGATGATCATTATTTTGCTCCTTTTTCCTGTTATTCTGGTGAATTACATTTATTTTTTTCCCCCAGTTAACACCCACCCTTCTATTTCTGGAATAAGCCCCACTTAGTCATGATTATCCTTTTTATATACCACCTGATTCAATTCACTAATTTTGTGTATAGGATTTTTGCATCTATGTTCATAACAGAGCCTTTCATAAACCAGCCTTTTAAAGTGACATCTTTTTTCCTTCTCATTTCAGAATGCTTTTGAAAACCAAAAATTATGTGATCAGAAGTGTACTCTAGGGTGTTTACTTTGTAGTGTGTAGACTGTAGAATGGATTAGTGCAGGAGGTGGGTGGTGAAGGATTAGGAAGCTACTGTAGCATTAAGAGAAGAGCTTGCACCAGTTTGGTACAAGTAGAAATGGAAAGGACGGATAGACTCCCCAGTACTTAGCTACTGATTAGATGAAAGTGCAACATTATGAAACAGAGAAATTAGGAGAACTTTATCTGAGCTTGGAGAAGAGTAAAAATAATTGGAGTGAAATACTTATCTTCACCATAATTATCACAATCATTAGGATCCATACGAAGGAATGACCGCAATTTAAGCAATTGCAAATGCATGGAAATACGTAACTGGTCACTACGTTAATATCTTTAATTAGAAAGTTTCCTTACGTTGATTTGAAGCTGATTTTTAAAATCATTTCCATTCACAATCAGAAAAAATCGATAATCTTGTATTCATTGAACACCTTAAAATGGGATCCTCTTAAGACAGCACATTTCAATACACATTGCGCTATTCCTCTCCTAACCACAGGGTGGCGACTAGGCGCCAACGCCGCACTTCTGTCTATTCCTCCGCTTCTTAGGCAGGTGTGGCTTCCAGGAGCGCGCACGTCCCGGAGTCCGCGCCAATCGCAGGCGCTGCGGCCGCGCACGTCGGTCAGCCGCGGTTACGCTGTCGCACATCGGCCAGACAGTAGTGTTCCAGGCCATGTGGAAGTTGCTCCCAGCTGCGGGCCCTGCCCGAGGTAAGGGTGGTAGGGAGATGTCCGGGGACCGATTTCACGGGAGCAGATGCGGTGGGCACAGGGTTTGCGGATCGTTACTTTCGGTCCGTTCTCGCCCTGGGAGACTGCGAAAGCTGGTGCGAAAGCCGCACATTTGTTGTGTGGGGACCGCGTAGTCTTTCTCGGCGGGTGCGCAGTGCTTGCGAACCAGGCTTTGGTCTGACGGGGGGAGGAGGCATGCGACACTGGGCCGTTCAGTGACCGCCGGGTCCTTTCCGCCCGGTCTACCGCCAGGTTCTCCGTGGTTGGGACCAACTCCTCTGGCGGGACTAGCTCTGACCCGGACTTAAATGCTCTTCCGGATTGAGTCTTGGCCGGGTATATGTTACGACATCTAGCGTTTTAAGCTTTTGAGGAAACATCCAGAATAAGTTAACATCCTGGAACACTCTGTGACTCTGTCTTGAGCGCATTGTGAGGAGCCACGGAGATGACTTGTGTAAATGGCAACTACAGGAAAGCATAATTTTGGTTTTGTTTCTTAGCCTTTTTCCGTTTTGTCATCACAACTGAAAAAGATTTTTTTCTGCATTTCTAGCAACGGAAAATGGTAATTGCATGTAAATTGGTTGCCTAATATATGTAAGCACTTATTAGTTGATAGATATGCAGTTGTAGCCTATGATTGGCCTTGCCCTCTGGAAGTTTACATTATGATTGAAGAAAAGATCTACGTAGAGGCTAAATGGACTGACAGTGTAAGGAAGTATGGAGAGGGCCAAACTAATGGTAAGGAAAATAAATACTGTAATAATACTGTAGATACTAAAAAATATAGAGACTCAAAGATCAAGTTTCACTGTGGACTTGGAGCATTGCGAGGTGCATGCAACACAGTAGGAACAGTTTCCAGAAACAGTTGTAGCCTGTGGCTGGCTCTTTGAGCTCGTTTAAGGAGGCAGCAGAAGAACAATGCCCCTAGCGCCAGTGGGTGGCATTCTTAACTTTTGGGGGATCTTGAACTCTTCTCGGAATCAGATGGAAGCTTTGGGGTTCCATCCTTCTAAGAAAAATGTAGGGAA